TCCAGGAGTTTACTCCGTCCATTGTGATGTGGAATAAAGAGACCTTTGGTTGTTTATTCCAGAGGAAGAGAAGAATTATTGCTAGACTTGATGGCATTCAAAGAGCCTTGACCTCTAAATCTAGTTCTTTTTTAGCCCAGCTGGAGAAGGATCTTTCTTCTGAATTTAATGCTATTCTTCTTCAAGAAGAGACTTTTTGGCATCAAAAATCCAGAAATCTTTGGCTTCGGGAGGGCGACAGAAATACTAAATTCTTTCATCTCTCTACCATTATCCGTAGAAGGAGAAACAAAATTGAAGGCCTTGAAAATGAAAATGGGGATTGGTTCTATGATAAGATTGGTATTCATGAAATTGTGGTTAAGTATTTTGTGGAGCTGTTCACTGCTAGGAACTTACAGCACATTGACACCTATCACTTGACTTTTCCCATCATTGAGCCTAGTAGAATGGTGGCGCTGAATAGAGAGGTGATGGATGTGGAAATTAAGGAAAGTCTGTTTGCCATTGGGAAGCTAAAGGCTCCAGGGCCTGATGGCCTTCCTGCTGGGTTTTTTCAACATTCTTGGGACTTATGTGGCAATGATATCATTCACTTTGTGAAGAAGTGTTTTGAGACCGGTAGAATTCCCGATGGCCTGAACCACACTTTTATCTCTCTCATTCCGAAAGTGGAGAAACCTTTGAGTATGAAACAGTTAAGGCCTATTAGCCTTTGCAACACTTTGTATAAAGTAGTCTCTAAGATTATTGTGGCGAGGCTTCGTCCGTTGATGCCCAATTTGGTTGGGCCTACCCAAGTTAGCTTTGTTCCTGGAAGGCAAATAACGGACAATATTATTATCGCTCAGGAAATTTTTCACAAATTCAGGAAAACCAAAGGTAAAAAGGGCTTCATGGCTTGGAAAATTGACTTGGCAAAAGCCTATGATAGGCTTCAATGGAGCTTTATCAAGCGGGTGCTTATGGAGATTGGTATTCATGGTAAATTCCTGGAATTAATTATGTCTTGCGTCTGTTCTGTGACCTTCCAGGCTCTCATTAATGGGGAAAGGACTGTTGGTTTTACCCCCCAAAGTGGCATTAGACAAGGTGACCCGTTGTCCCCTTATTTGTTTGTCCTCTGTATGGAGAAGCTTTCTCATATGATTACCCAAAATATTGAGGGTCGTACGTGGAATCTGGTGCCTGTATCCAAGCAGGGCCCTTTTATCTCCCACCTTTTCTTTGCTGATGACTTGATCCTGTTTGCTGAGGCTTCTCCTAGGCAGGCAAGAGTCATGAGAGAGTGCTTAGATGGGTTCTGCAGTATGTCTGGTCATATGGTGAGTTATGAGAAGTCTCAAGTTCTATGCTCTCCTAATGTGAAAAGAAGTGATGCTTTGCTTTTGGCTCAGACTTGTGGTTCCCCGTTGACTCAGGACCTTGGGAAATACCTTGGTGTTCCCTTAATTCATAACCGCATCAATAAAGCCACCTATTGGGAGGTTATTGATAAAGTTAAGAAACGGCTGACAGGTTGGAAAAGTGCTACTCTATCGATGGCTGGAAGGATGACGTTGATTCAGGCGGTTTCTTCATCTATTCCTACATACTCTATGCAAACCTCTAAACTTCCTATGACAGTGTGCCATGAGCAGGATCGTTTGAACAGAAACTTCCTCTGGGGTTCTACTGATAGCAAAAAGAAAGTCCACCTTGTGAGTTGGGAGAAGGTTACTCGGCCTAAACACCTTGGTGGGCTAGGGCTTAAGAAAGCCATTGTTGTTAATCAATCCCTGCTTGCTAAAGCTGGTTGGAGGATTCTACAACACCATCACAGCCTTTGGATTGATGTTGTGAATGGGAAATATCTGAAAGGTAAAAAGGTGACTGAGGTTAAAAAAAAGGATTTTATTGATTCTTCCTCTACTTGGAAAGGAATTTTATATGGGACTCAGGCCTTGTCCACAGGTTTGAAGTATAGATTGGGTGATGGGTGCTTTGTTTGGTTTTGGACTGACCCTTGGGTTGATACTATGTCGCTCCAAAGGTATGCTTGCCACCCCCTTACTCTTGATCATTTGCAGGAGAAGGTTAGTGATTTCATTACTAATGGTGAATGGAATTTGCCTAAACTTAACATATGGCTCTCTACTGAGATTGTCACGAAGATATCTTGTATCCATGTGTCAGGCCCTGGTGTGGTTACTGATAAACTTATTTGGGCTGCAAACTCTAATGGTCGTTTCTCTGTGAGCTCTGCTTATTCTGCTCTTATCCAGGATGATTGTGTGGACCATTGGCAATGGGATTTCATCTGGAACCTGAATCTCCCCCCCAAAATTAAAACTTTTCTGTGGACTTTGTGCCATGGCAGAATTCTTACTAATGAAGCTCGAAGGAATAAAGGTCTCTCTCTTGATGCTTGTTGCCATATCTGTAAGTGGCCTTCTGAATCTATTTCCCATCTTCTCAGGCTTTGCCCCAATGCCATGCTGGTCTGGAATTCCATGGGTCTTAGTGAATCTATCCGGCAATCCTTTAATTTTAATATGTGGGATTGGATGTTCTTTAATTTGAATGATGGCAAGAGCTGTTATAACCAATTGCAATGGAATGTTGTGTTTGGTTTTGCTGTGTGGCACATATGGAAAAACCGTTGCATTGAGGCTTTTGAAGATAATCAGCCCCTCACTTCTCTTTCTGGTATCTATGTTTGTCGAGCTGCCAATGAGTGGATATATACCAAGTTAGTAACCAATAGGAAGGTTGCTAAGGTTGATGTCCTTATTACTTGGAATTTTCCTCCTGTTGGTTGGTGGAAACTAAATACTGATGGCTGCAGGAAAGGTGAGGAAGGGATTATTGGTGTTGGTGGTGTAATCAGAAATGCCAATGGGGACTGGGTTGGTGGTTTCTCTGCTAATATTGGGAGGGGTTCTGTTTTACAAGCTGAGTTATGGGCCATCCTCTATGGATTGCGGCTTGCTAACCATTCTAACTATTTTCCCCTTATTGCGGAGTCTGATTCCTGTTTGGCGGTGGATCTTGTGAATGCGCCTAGTTGTGACCCTCTTCACCCTTTGTTCACTCTTATCTCTAGTTGTAAAGCTATCATGACTGGTGATGTTTGTCGTATTCATCATGTCTTCAGAGAAAGCAACTCTGTTGCTGATATGCTTGCTTCTATTGGAGTCACCAAGCCTTTGGGTCTCCATACTTGGGCTAATGCTCCTGTTGCTGTGAACCAGTTAATCTTTAAGGATATGTGTAGGGTGTGCATACCCAGACTTATTGTTCCTTAGTGTTTTGTTGGGCTTTGCCCTCCTCTTTACCAAAAAAAAAAAAAAAAAGTTTGTAGTTTTGTTTTTGCGAATGTTCTAGTGCCCAAAACCATAACCGCATGAATCTTCAAGTTCGGTAAAGGAGGCTTCAAAATGGAAACCCTCCTTGGGCATCTTCATGGTGATTTCCTAGAAATGAAAACTGGTTTCGGGCACATGCTATGGGAATGATTTAATGGACACCCACCCTAAAACTGCCTATTGGACAACTCTAAACCCACATAACACTCCCTTTCCTTTATTTTGTTTTATTTTTTTGTTTTATTTCTTGTTATCTACTGGTGTTCTGATGAATGAGTGTGAGAGTGTGAGAGTAAAATTCTTTTTCATGTAGACTGTAGGTGCAAAATTAAAGAATGAAAATTAAGATTAATGGCTACCAGTAGCCATTATTGTTAATTAGTAATTATTCAATAACTAAGTATTTATTTTGGTACTAGCCTTGTATCCATTCAATTCAGTCATACTAAATGAAAAATCACCATGTTCACCTACCGTAGGCATGTTAACCACATTCTACCCTATTCATTTTAATCGCATGAAGACGATGGATGTATGATTTCAACGATTAAAATGAATATGGTAGAATGTGGTTAACATGCAGACTGTAGGTGAACATGGTCTCTCTTTCTGTGTGTTTTTTGTTTTGGAGACGAAGATGACTTGAGGAGTAGGAAAATGAATTATAACACGGATCAAATACATACGAGATAATTATAAAGCAAGCAATTTGCAGCAGAGTAAAACTATGGAAGAGAATTTGAACTATCAAATTTTCTTCTCAAAAAAATAAAAAATAAAAAATAAAGTAGTTTTTACTTTTTTTACTTCAAAAGATAAGACACAAAATGGGGAAATTTACAGAAACAAATACAAATACAAATAGTGTCCTTCAAATGACCAATATCATCTAAATGATATGGAACCACACCAAACACATGTCCTTCAAATGACCAATATCATCTAAATCATATGGAACCACACCAAACACATGGCGTACCTAATGCACCAAACACACGAAAAATCAGTATTGGAATTTGGAACCTGAAATCTTTAGTATTATCATTGCTTCAAAGTTTTAATATAAATGATACTAATGCAAAAGCAGTCAAAATTGTACTATGATTCCTTTGAATAGGGGGCGAGTAGGAAGAGCCACGCAAGGCACAAACAAGACTCTGACAGCAATGTTCCACATCAATACCAACCCACCAAATAAATTCCAGAGGCTAATGAATATCGGAACAAGGTTTTCATCTCCCACCAAATTATATTATATATATATACTAAAGCCCAATGCAACCAGATACTATTCATAAGTACTGTTCTCCACTAAACCTTTTCTGCTCCTCTTTTTGCCCTTTCCCATTCGCATCTCTTTCGTTGCAACGTTTTGTTCGCTCAGAGATTTCCAGTCCATTTCGAACCAGCTGGTTGGGCTGGTTGGGGGGCAGCCATGGAAGATCAGCGTTCACTGTTCTAAATGCGTGGGGAGCTGTCGATTTTCGTTTAGGGAGGCGCGCTGCGAATCCAGCCGCCCTTTTGGTCTTCATCTCATTGGTTTTCCTCTCAGATGTTGCGTTCGAGTGTTGCCGTTCCAGCTGAGCTTCATCCTTCTTCTCATCGCACTTATGAACAGTCTCATCCAACTGGAGTAATTAATATAGGAACCCTCTGCATATGCATTTATTTATTTATTAATTAAGGATGGAGATTATGAATGAGACCTGTCATTAGTTTTTGAAATTCTTCCCTTTTTTACTTTTGGCAAAAAGTTCAGATTGAAACTATGATCCCTCATTCAAAAAGATGACCAACAATTTTACAGGTCAGGAGCCAATCAAATACAAGGCGATTGTAGATCTGCATTCAACTTCATGGAGAAGGCTCTTGGAGATCTTTACCCAAGAATGCAGGTCTAAATATTATATATATATATAGTAGCTAGCTAGCCTTGAAAGATTTTTACAATAAAGGATCCTTTATATATATTTCCAATGTGTATTCATTTGGTTGTAAATATACACAAATCAATGTGTTTGTGTGTGATTTGAAGGATTGCTGAGGTGTGGGAAGAGTTGCAGACTGAGGTGGATAAATTATCTGAGGGCTGACTTGAAGAGAGGGAACATCACTGCTGAGGAGGAAGAAACCATTGTTAAGTTACACACTGCTTTGGTAATAGGTATATATATATACCCTCATTTTTTAATTAAATAAATATCTTTTTATATAGTTCTCTTTGGCCAGCTTTTCTTTCTGTATAATATATCTATGCTCAGAAAATATGAATGTAACCATCCTCAATTCGTTCTTAGTTTGTGGGTTCTAATTTTATTAAGATCCCTCTTTGAACAGGAGAGATCCGGCAGCCTGATACTTTATAGAACCATTTTTCAACTTGGTTATGCTAAGCTAGATTCAAGCTGTCTAGATACTCTAATATTTGTGTTAATTGGAAAATCTGATATAGAACAACGCTTATGTCTATGCCCATCGATCTACAATTCTGCTAACATTGTTAATTAATTTGATTAATTACTTGATTATGGCTGCATTGTGATATTGCCAATGTTGAAAAGGATTTATATTTGAGGGATGTTAATCAAGTTCTTAATTTCTTTTTGGGATCCCTCCTCTATAGAACTCCTGCTAATTTTAGTAAGGATGGTTAGGAACACAACCAATTGAGAGGAGCTCAAAGAAGCATTATGTGTTTTTTTTTTTGGGCAGTCTGGCAACTGAACATGTTTGTGTTGTTAAACTATAAACTGGAGACCATATTGCCTGTACAGATTCTTCTATTGAGATTAAAATAAAACCAAATTTAAATGGAAAAAGAGACTATTTATAGCTGACCAACCAAGTTCCTCCTAATTGGCTTAAACCACCAGTTCAAAAGCCATAAACATTTTTATCACCTGGATTAAATACAAAGAATGATTTTTATTTTGTTATTAAAGTAACATCCAAGAGATTCAAACGATATGCACAACAAATTTGTACAAAAGATATGTGCTTTGTGATGGGATTCAAACAAGTAGTCGCAAATGTTATTACCTTCATGCCTATTTGTTTTGGATCAACTTTGGTGGCTTTCCTTCGAAAAAAAAAACTTGAATTTTGCTCTGTGATTTTTGCTTTGGATTTTGATGATGGCTGATATTCTGTTTTCTTCTGTCTCTGTTTGTTTTTGTTTTCCCGGATTTTTCTTTTGTTTTAGTAGTGGACTAACAAAGTTCAAGCATCTCATATAAAAACACTGCACATAAAAACATATTTGGACAGTTTTGGGACTAGAAAATCAGAAACTGCAATTTTTTCGATTTTTTTTTGCTTTTTCTCCTCTTCTTTCTTAACCATGTCTGCTTTTGATGTTTTGTAGGTGGTGTTTTGCTGATAGAGCTGTTTGGTGGTTGTTTTTGGTTCTGTTAAGCAAGAGGTGTGTTTCTATGTTGAAATTCCAATTTATTGTTTCGGTTCTGTCAATGGAGCATAGTAATTAGCTAATGGCATCAATTGACAATTGGTTGGGATAAATTTGAACTAATTGCTATGGTTGTTCAGCTGTAAATAAAGCCAAGTAATTCTTATGTGGTTTGAACCAATGACAAGCTGTTTCATGTATGATCTGTGCTTAGATACATATTAATATTTTTTGACTTTTTCCTTTTAGTTTATGGAAGATATGATGTGTTTGGAGAGGTTGTTGATAAGAGTGATAACAACATGATATTGCTTTTGATTATATATTAATGCCTTTTCGTGTGCTGAAGCTTTTTTATTTATTTATTTATTTATTTATTTTAGGGAGCTTTTTTAACATGAAAAAGGACATGGAGTGGTTATAAACTGCCTTTGGTTTCATTTGATTGATGTTTTGGGTTGATTTTCAGACATATATGTTTACTACAAAATTGAAGCTTGATCTTTAGATTGTTAGAAGAGACTTTGGGAAAACTCAATTGTTGAATTAGAGTATGAAATATTGATATCTGTTTAAAGGGAAAAAAGGGAAAAACAGAAAAATGGAATTGAAAAATATAAAAAAAATCTTGATTGTTTAGGGTGACTTTTGCATAGATAACTTTTGATCATATACTCTTTGTTTCAAATGCATCTAGGATCATTTAAACAGCCCTCTTCCTGTGCTTTTACAGTGTTTTTTCTTTGAACTAGAGGTGTCAGATGAATGTGCTTTTGCATCTTCTTTCTTCGAACTAGAGGTGTCAAACTAGACGGGCCGGCCTAGCACGGCACGAGTGCGAATATTAGTGGGCTGTGCTAGGTTTTTGAGAAATAGTAATGGGAAACTCCAATTTCAGGAAACTCAAATGACTCCCAACAACAGTTATGAACCATTTTCTTTAAGATGCGTCCTGCTCTTAGTTTGAGTGGATTCACTTCTCATCAGCTTAGGTTGATTCAATTGGTAATTTTTTTTGCATTTTAATCTTCTACCATTAGATTGTTATTTGTGACAAATTAATCTTGGATATGTGGTCAAGAACATCATTCCTAGGCATTCTTGGGTAATTTCCTCATTGTTTCATCCACTATGTTATGTTTCTATTTTGAAAGATGCTTGTCATATATTTTTTGTTGTTGTGGATTTTCTGTTTTTCCAAAATATGATCAATATTTTAAGATGACAAACAACATATAAAACATGTTATTAGTCTTTATTTTGTAACTTAAACTTGCTACATATTTTCATAACTTTATACACATTTCAGACGGTTTTAAAACCCGCAGCATCGTGCGGGCACCTTTGCTAGTATATACTAAAACTGAATAAAGTCACTGTTCTTAGACTGTTCCTTAGGATAATTAAATGACGTTTGTGCCCCTGCTTAACTGGTTGTCCTCTTAATTATGTTCACTAATGAACAGTACAATGACATTTTTGCCTTCATGACCAGCTACATAGCCCTTTTTCTCAGTTCGCTTCTTTTCCAAACTCAAGCCCCTTCAGCTCTCAAACCCGCGTTCACTTCTCAAGCCAGAAAAGCCCCTTAAGCTCTCAAACCAGTGTTCACTTCTCAAGCCAGAAAAGCCCCTTCAGCTCTCAAACCAGCGTTCAATTCTCTAGCCAGAAAGAAAGCCGCGTTCACCAAAGAGAAGTGGGAGAGAGAGAGGCCTTAGAGATCATAGTCGTCTTCTCTAATTCTCGGGCACGGGTACTTTCAAGGTAAGCCTGCATAGTTCTCAATGGGTTGGGTTTTAAATTTCCCGTCTAATCATTTAGGATTAGGGTTATTTCTTACCCTCCGTCCATTCCTCAATCTGGCACAAGTTTTTGTAATTTTTTTGCCTGCATAGTTCTCAGTGGGTTGGGTTTTAAATTTCCCATCAAATCATTTAGGATTAGGGTTATTTCTTAACCTCCGTCCATCCCTCAATCTGGCACAAGTTTCTGTAATTTTTTTTATTCACTTAATTATGATTCAATATGTATAATGGGTTGATTGTATTATATGTTTTTCTCTATGCTGGAAATTCTGTTTAATGGGTTTGTCAGAAGTTTCTGGACCTGATTGGTTGATTTTGGTTTTTCTTTCTATAAGAATTTGGTTTTATGCTTTTTTGTTGGGAAAATCTGACTGATGCAATCAACAGCTGTTTAAATATGGAATGCGAGATGAAAGTAAATAGAGAAATTACTCGAGAATTTGTAATGATTTTGCTGCTGTAATGGGTTATTAATTTGTTGTTGTGATGATAGGTAGAGTATTAACAATACTTAGAACTGAAAAATCACTTTATCTCTTAATTACTAAGACAACAAAACTTGAGTACGTGCTACTTAATCCAATAATATACTTAAAAAGGTTAGAACTAAAGAATCACTTTATAATACTTCAACTGATCTGCTACTTTTATTGGATTCCTGGGTAATTTTTAAATCACTTTATCTCTTAATTACTAAGACAACAAAACTTGAGTACGTGCTACTTAATCCAATAATATACTTAAAAAGGTTAGAACTAAAGAATCACTTTATAATACTTCAACTGATCTGCTACTTTTATTGGATTCCTGGGTAATTTTTTCTTCTTCTTTTTTTTACTTTCATACCATATTAGTACATTTTTTCTGATTAATTAAGGTTCGAGATTATGAATGAGGACTTTGTGATGAGTTTTTGAAATTCTCCATTTTTTACTTTACAGGAAAAAATGGAAAATTGTTATTGATTATATTAGTATAATTTGTTTAGGCAGTCTTTCTGGGATTTTGTTGCTTGCTGAGTTTATTTTTTATGTTTTTCGTTTTGAATCATTAAAATATGCCCAATGTTTTCACATAACAAGCAGCACATAAAACATGTTATTAGTTTATTTTTTGTAACTTAAGCTTGCTAGACTATATAAATAGTACCATTTTCCCTGCATATTTTCACGACTTTATACACATTTCACACAATTTCAAAACCCGCAGCATTGCGCGGGCACCATTGCTAGTAAACTACTAGAGTTTATAACTAATCGAAGCTTAATTATATAGATAGTGCATTATATAAAGTACTTAAACATTGAGAAGAAATAACATAAAATTAGACGATTTATCAAATTAGAGTGATTTAAAAAATTAGAGTGATTTTTTTAGACGATTTAGATTGTTGAAATACAATGCACGATGGGCTCTAAAAGGGTGTCCCCCAATTAAACCTCTCTTATCTCCTAAAAGAATATCCCAATTTACATTTGAGAAGTTTGTAAGAAATGTATATTACTTCCCTTCCCTTATCCTTGTAAGAAATGCAATCACCGCTATAATACACCACCAATGTTTTTAGTAAGGGTGAGAACACTTTTCTACTGTAATTCAAACCGAAACTGAAATATCAAATTGACTAAATTGCACAGATGCTCCTTGTGCGTCTTGTGGTTTGTCCATAGTGTATATGTTCAATTTTAGTCCACTGTGCGCATTGCGTGGAAGGATTAAAGGGTAAGTTCAATCCCTTGGCCATAGCTTGTGGTTTGTTCATAGCTTTCTCATGTTTGTGGATAAAAGGTCAGTTCATCCCTTGACCATGTTCACTTACCATCTGCATGTTAACATGTTAATCACATTCTACCCTATTCATTTTAATTGCATGAGGACAATGGATGCATATGATTTCAATTATTAAATACCCCCTCCCCCTGCCCCTCAAGTATTGCATCTTTCTTTCTTGATCGTAGTTTCCAAAATTTTTACTTGCTAGTTGCTAATGTAAATTTTTTAGTTCTTTTCTAATTATATATACCTTTTTTAACGTGTGAAGGGGCGGAATCGTGGATTAACAACTTTACCTTCCACGGCTTAAGTTTTACCAAATCACAAAGGTTAGCATCGTCCTCCTTAGTCTCCACAGCAACTTTTGATTTAGACCTAAGAGAAGCTATGGACTCTTCCATGGCCTCTTGTTGTTTCTTCAACCTTTCCTCCATGTCTTTCAATATAATTTCATTAGCCCTCTTCTTTGATTCACAAACTTCCTTCTTGAGTGACTCGGACATGTCAGAAACTTCCTTCTCCAATGAGTTGCACCCTCCCGTTCTTCTCACCGCATCCTTTAGCTTCGGCCATGTTCATGTTAAACGTGTGGTCATCTGAAACAAGTTTCTGACATGTCCAAGTCACTCAAGAAGGAAGTTTGTGAGTCAAAGAAGAGGGCTAATGAAATTATATTGAAAGACATGGAGGAAAGGTTGATGAAACAAGAAGAGGCCATGGAAGAGTCCATAGCTTCTCTTAGGTCTGAATCAAAAGTTGATGTGGAGACTAAGGAAGACGCTGCTAACCTTTGTGATTTGGTGAAACTTAAGCCGTGGAAGGTAAAGTTGTTAATCCACGATTCCGCCCCTTCACACGTTAAAAAAGGTATATATAATTAGAAAAGAACTAAAAAATTTACGTTAGCAACTAGCAAGTAAAAATTTTGGAAACTACAATCAAGAAAGAAAGATGCAATACTTGAGGGGCAGGGGGAGGGGGTATTTAATTATTGAAATCATATGTATCCATTGTCCTTATGCAATTAAACTGAATGTGGTTAACATGTAGATGGTAAGTGAACATGGTCAAGGGATGAACTGACCTTTCATCCACGAACATGAGAAAGCTATGGACAAACCACAAGCTATGGCCAAGGGATTGAACTTACCTTTTTATCTTTCCATGCAGTGCGCATAGTGGACTCAAATTGAACATATATACTATGGACAAACCACAAGACGCACGAGGAGCATCTGTGCAATTTAGTCAATTTGATATTTTCAGTTTTGGTTTGAATTACAGTAGAAAAGTGTTCCCACCCTTACTAAAAACATTGGTGGTGTATTATAGTGGTGATTGCATTTCTTACAAGGATAAGGGAAGTAATATACATTTCTTACAAACTTCTCAGCTAAAAACATTGGTGGTGTTTTATAGTGGTGATTGCATTTCTTACAAGGATAAGGGAAGTAATATACATTTCTTACAAACTTCTCAAGTATAAGGGAGACGATGATTGAAGCTGGGCTTACGGTGAAGGATTAGGTTATGGTGAATGTTGAACAGTTCATTTGCTTTGTTGGCTAGGATTGTTTCGATATAATACATATGTTTGAGGTTGTATTTGCTTGATTATTATTATTTTTTCTTCTGAGAAAAATATTTGCTTTCTTTATTTCTACTCAGAATTGCAAAACACTACGAAAAGCAATAGAAATACAACACACACACCAAACAAAACTATAAAACACGAGGAAAATAAATAGAAAGGCAGCACACACACCAAACAAAACAAAAGGATCCGTGAAGTATCCAGTTGATATGAAAAGGATATTTTTGACGAAAAAAGAATATGAAAAGGACATAGCTTTGATTGATTACCCAAAGTTGTGTCAAACCCCATAATTCAATAAACACATTCAACAAAAATAATCCCAAAAACCCACACAACACTTTAGACCAAAAAAACAGGGCAAGTTTTCTCTAGACTAGGTACTTCAGCCTCTTGTGCGAGAGAAACTTTCCCTCTTCTGGTCAAACTCACTTTGACAAACCAATCACTGTTTTCATGGCGGCGATGATAGTGGTCCCTATAGCAAGAGCAAGGGTGAAGATAGACCACGCTTCTTCAATATATGGAGTGAGTTTTGTTCTGTTTAGTTTATTGGGTTGATGGTAGTTTTGTGTTTGAATTCTAAACAAAAATTCTCTTACGATTTGTATCCGTTGCTTTTAGGGGGCAAATTATATATAAACTAAAACTGAGTTCACACCTCACTGTTCCTAAGATGTTCATTAGGAATAGTTTAAATAACGGTTTTGCCCCCGCTTAAGTGATGGTCTGCTTCCTTTAGTTGACTTATGAGCAGTGAATTGGCCATTATGCCCAATGCTTTTTCTTGTATAAAATCTGAAGGGATAGTCACAATAAGAAATTTGTTCCAAGTCCATGTATTCTTTGCTAGTGTTTTTCATGGTGTTTGGGATTTATGTCTCAATATGTCCAATGCTTTGTAAATGCTCTAGTCAGGTTAATGTTCCCAATGTTGCTAGCTAGCTACCTTGGGAAATAACTCAACTTTAAAATTAAATTTAACTAAAACAGATGATGTACAATGATGATTGGAAATGTTGATCAGGAATCTAAGACATATTTCCATCTAAGCACTGGTTAGGCTAAGACAGACACTATATCAGTGCAAAAATTCTAAGCAAATTAAATTCAAGGTTACTAAACTAATTCAATGAGATTCTACGTACTAATAATCTTCAAATTTATGATACCAGATGATGAATCATCAGATCAGTCCCTCCAAATACTGAATGGATTGATCGTAATCGTGATCTAGATCTCAGTTCATGTCTAGTCCTGCAAATCCTTGTAACTTGAACACTTGCTCCTCCAGCAAGTCTGGTGTCAAATCATTCCATAGCTGGTAGCAATATCTAATTTCTAAAGCCAAGGTACTAATTCATGATAGAGAGATGATGAATCATCAGATTAATTAGATCATCAATTCCTCCAAAAGTATCCAATAGATAGATTTTGATCTCGGTAGAAGCTCAGTCGACCACAGAGAGAGCTTGATACGCTTTGTCAGCAATGGCTGCTTCCATCAGATGGTGCGGGCCAATTTCCCCACAGTTGTCCAGGAAGGACTTGACCAAATTGTCAGAGACGCCACTCAACAGCGTCACCCGTGGATGATGTTCTTCTATACGAGGCATGCTGGCTCTTCACTAAGTTCAGACACCAAGTCCGAAACTCACCGCCAAGCGCGTTAGGCCATTGTAATCCCTGATGTGACACACTGCCAAGCAGTTTCTAAATTTTCCCAAACCCTCACCCTGCTTTTGCTACTGTTGCTGCTTTAGGTACATATCCTCCACCATTGCCTTCCACTGAAGCTCGGCCCCTTCTCTGACATCCCCATCTTCTACTACGTAGCGTATGATCTCATTTGGGAGCATAGCATCCGGCTTTATTATGCTGCCATGGCCACTCAAATTGCCTCCTCTTCCTCCTACTTTTTTCACCTCCTCCAAATACATCGTAACTTCTGAGCGCTGTCATCTCAAAAACATGACTTGATGATTCCAGTACCTGTATAAGGGCGCCAAAACCTCATTCCTAAGCCGCTCCCACTCTTGTGATTGATATGATTGATATGATTGATTTGATTGATATGGTTTGCGTGGGAAAAGCCTCCTTGCAATTCTTTCACACAGCAAAACGGCGTGGGAAGCACAGGTGTCCTCGGGGCGTTTGCTAATGCAACACACTGCAGCCTCGCTAACAAAAAGATCAGCATAAGTGTCAGCATCAAGAGTACCATCTTTATCATCTTCGTCGTCTTCATCATCGTCAGTTATATAATCGGATGGCTTCAAATCGAGCTTGTGCTGCTTGAATTTGTCAATATCAGACTTCAACTGCTCCACGAAGACATCCATAACCCGGTCGTGTAAGAGCTTATAGTCTGGGTCACAGTGGAGCCGCTCTGCAGCATCTTGGCCTTGTTCTATAAGGCGGTAGAGAATCTCGAGAAGGTCATAAAAACTCCCGAATGGATGGGCAATGGAGGGAAGGTTGCATAATAGCGTCTTGGGGTGGTTCTGGTGGAGCCAGAACACAGCCTTGTAGAAGGCTTCCTGATAAGATTTTCCGCTGCTCCGAATAGCAAGGAGATTGAAGATGAGCTTGAGGGTGGTTAGGGGAGGCCTGGTTCTGCTGCTGCTTTGTGTCGTCATCACTGACTCTGTCTGATGGTTTCACGTGGAAAAACAGATCTTGGCAGGGATCACCGTAGGAAGAGAAGGAAGAAATAGGGGACACGGAGATCTTCTTGGCCATGTCACCGTTGGAGTTGGAGTTGGAAGCCATTAATCTTCTTGTGAGCAGTGTTGGAGGACCGAAAACAAGAGTTTTTGAAGTTAGAATGGTAGGAGTAGGAGGAGCCATTACTTTCAGAATCCTTGTGAAAGTGGAACACACTTGGAGTGGCACTTGTTTCTTCATCCCTAATTCCTCATATTGAAATTGCAATCGAAAATCAACACATGCACACTCTCTCTCTCTGTTTTTTGTTTTGGAGACGAAGATGACTTGAGGAGTAGGAAAAGGAATTATAACACGGATGAAATACACACGAGATAATTATAAAGCAAGCAATTTGTAGCAGAGTAAAACTGTGAAAGAGAATTTGAACTGTCAAATTTTCTTCTCCAAAAAAAAATATATATTAATAAAAGTAGTTTTTACTTTTTGTACTTCAAAAGATAAGACACAAAATGGGGAAATTTATAGAAACAAATACAAATAGTGTCCTTCAAATGACCAATATCATCTAAATCATATGGAACCAAACCAAACACATGTCGTACCTAATACCATTGCAAAAGCAGTAGGGGGTGAGTAGGAAGAGCGACGCAAGGCACAAACAAGACTGACAGCAATGTTCCACATCAATACCCACCAAATAAATTCCAGAGGCTAATGAATATCGGAACAAGTTTTCATCTCCCACCCAATAAATTACTAGAGTTTATAACTAACCGAAACTTAATTATATAGATAGTACATTGTATAAATTACTTAAACATTGAGAAGAAATAGCATAAAATTAGACGATTTATCAAATTAGAGTGATTTAATAAACTAGAGTGATTTTTTAGACAATTTAGATTATTGAAATACAAGGCACGGTGGACTCTAAAAGGGTGTCCCCCAAATAAACCCCTCTCTCTCTCCTAAAAGAATATCTGAATTTACATTTGAGAAGTTTGTAACAAATGTATATTATTTCCCTTCCTTTATCCTTTTTAAAGGGACAGTGGCAATCACCACTATAATACACCAATAATGTTTTTAGTAAGGGTGGTAACACTTTTCTCCTGTAATTCAAACCGAAACTGAAAATATCAAATTAACTAAATTGCACATATGCTCTTCATGCGTCTTTTGGTTTGTCCATAGTATATATGTTCAATTTGAGTCCACTGTGTGCACCATGTGTAGATAAAAAGGTCAGTTCAATCCGGTCTTCGCGATTGACGGTGTTAAGTCGTCTGAATAATGAATGCAATCTATCGTATTTCTATAATAAAAATACTTCTTTACTAACTACAAGTTGCTTTGCCATGGACATTCTAGTCTTTATAATTAACTCATTTACTCTTTAATAATGATATAAGTTACCGTAATAATATTTTCATATCAAGCTAAAAAATAAAATAATATTACATGTCTTATATTTAAGGAACGATATGTGCAAGAGCCCATTAACTAAATTAATTCATTCAGTAAACATATATTACTAAAATTTCCTAGGAGAACCCAGGGCAAAGAGGCAGCAAGTTTGACAGAAAGAATTTCATTCCATAGCTGCCTCTGTTTAGCTTTTTGAGGGTAACCATAAAGGAAGGTAGCGAACCAGTTGTGATTCAAGCAAGTCCGAAAATTTTGACAGTGTATGGTATGTGCAATTCATTAGATTAGAATCCCAAAATATGGTCTTAAATTTAAGGAACGATATGTGCTAGAGCCAATTAATTTTAGTTTAGTTAATGCACTAATCCTATTATACAGGCCAAAAGAAAAACTTTAATGCTTTCAATCCAAATGTTACATAAACTTTAACGCATTTTTGTCTACATCACCACGCCACCCATATCTTGCAGCGCACTCTGCCATGCAGTCGTCGCCCCACTCCTCTTCCCAACCACTCCCATCCTGTTCTTTTTTCTTATTTTCTAATGAAGTTGCAATATGTTTTTGAATTAATTTAATTTTTATAAATTACATTTTTTTGACTAGCAGTAATACAATTGCTTCAACGGTATACAACAGATGGCTTCACCATCAACGGTTGGCCAGGAGTTTTATACAAAAACCCATCCAATCCATCTGCAT